CTAAGTCCTAAAAATTGGTCTGAAGCCCGAACGGCTACCAAATTATGAAGAAGCTCAGGTGCAAAGAAAACCAAAAAAATCTGCCAAGTCCTAAAAGTTAACCTGAAGCCCGACCGGCTATCAACGTCGTAAAAGCTATCCTAAGGCTTGATCTGAAACTCGATCGGCTATCAATGTTGTAAAAGAATATCTGAAACAAGAATGTGCCAAGTCCTAAAAATTGGTCTGAAGCCCGAACGGCTGAGTCCCAGAGAGAGGGGGTTTTTCCTTAATAAATTATCAGAACTTTCTAATGCCCGAACGGCGATCAACGGCATTAAGAATATTTGAGCAAGAAATAAGTTAGGAAATTGGTTAAGTCCTACAAAACGGGCCGAATCCCGAATGACGAGTAAATCATGCATTAAAGACAGAAAAGAAAATACACAAAGCTTCAGGCAGAAAAGGGATATATATTCATCGGTTCTACTGACCGGGAAGTACAAGTCATTTAGAGAAAAGAGAATTACAACAAGTAATGAAAAAGTACATATAAATTATTGGCTAGGGTCCATTTCATCCCCCTCTTCATCCTCGTCTTCATCATCATCAGACAGGGGCTCAGGCTCTCTCCCAGCAGCCTGATCGGCTTCCCTTTGTTGAGCTCGCAGGAATTTCTCGAACTGAGTCTGGATAATGTCATCTGTGGGGAGATCAGAAGCCTGAACCGGCCTCCCCAGATGATTTTGAAGCTGAGTAACGAAGGGACGCAGCAAGACCTGGCCAATTTTGCCATAAAGGTCTGAGACAATGGAGTCGTTCCATTTTTTGGCCTCGGGGTCCTTATCCAAGAGGGCCACCCCTGCCGATAGCCGACCAGCGCCTTTGGGGAAACCCTTCAAGTACGCCCCAAAGGTGAACGGGATTTGGGCCCTTGCATGATCATCCTTGATGATGGAGAATTCATCAGAGGATTTAAACGTGTCCCGGACGGCGGACAGATCCACGTTCACTTCATAGGGACCGTCCGGGATGCTGGATGGCATTTCATTGAATTTGACCTGTGCGGCCTCAGCAGCAAGGACCTTCGCCTGGGAAGCTGCGAGTTGGACCCGAAGGGTACCGAGCTCAGCATCCAGCCTCTGCTTTTCCTCCGCAAAGGCTTTCCGTTCGGCCTCCAGAGAGGCGATGGCGGCAGCAGCATGTTGCTCAGCAGAAGACTGGGCAACAATCAGTTCCCGCTCCTTGGCCAGACGGGCCTCCCGCATCTGAAGGGTGTACAAACCCATCTACAGAGTACCGTTCGAGAGTTAGTACTGATTACAGAGAATAAAATAAAGACAAAGCGCAAAAGACAATGTACCTTCAGAGCAGTCAGAGCCAGACATTCTTCAGATTGCTCGACCGGCAACTGAGGAAGGGAAAAGTTGTTGAACCAAGAGGAGGTCGACCAGATCTGGCTCGCGGTAGAGCCGGCCCTCTCTAATACCTCATGGACAGGGTCGGATAGGGAGATCCGCTCGACCTGACCCGTAATGTGGTCGGTATGGGTCTCACCAGCATTCGAGGGTTCCCCCCGAACGGAGTCGAAATGCTGAGAAAATCGGTGCAGTTGGTCAGAGCCGAACCGGTCGTCGACCAGCATGGCCTCGAATTGGTCCTAGTGGACCTGCTGTATTGGCTGAGGCTCTGGAAGCGGTTCAGAAGGGGCAGCATCCTGAGCGGGAATAATGGTGGGAGTAGGTTGGGGGTTCTTCCGGGATTTTTTCCGCTTACCGGCCCCACCGGCTGCGATAACTCTGCTGTCATCCATAGGTAGATCTGGGTTTGGTGCTGAAAAAAGACAAAGGAGAATGTTAGTATCGAGCGGCCTTAGCGTGTGAGAAACTAGAAAAAGGAATAAGAGAACGTTTCTCGCACAGGAAGGACCGCCCGGACCATGGCACTTGGTTTCTCAAAACAAGTAAACCCAATAGAATGGGCAGTACCTATCCCGGCCGTAATGAGTCGTTCGGGAGTCAGATAACTCATGATGTCCATGCATTTATCCTTCTCCACAGCAAGCACGTCCTTGTAAATTTCTTCAGTGAGGACAGGATCAGGAGTCTTGCGGGGGAAGGCATTCCATTTACGGGGAATTAGGCCGTCCGGGACAGACACGAAGAAAACACGGTCTTTCCACCCTTTGATTGAAGTTGGGTTTCCTTTGAACAGGATGTGTCCCGTTCGGGCACTAGTGGCCAGATAACCATGGGTTTGTTGGGGGGCTACTTTGAAGAATTGATGGAAGAGTTCTAGGGTTGGTCGGGCGCCGGCATCTTTGCAACGACAAATGAAACCCGCCATTGCCCGATAGGAGTTCGGCATAATCTGGGCCGGTACAACTTCGTAGAAATTGAAGAAAGAAATGAAAAAGGGGTGTAGCGGAAATCTAAGGCCGGCCCTAATTGAGTCAAAGTGGACTATGGTCATTCCGGGCCTATGACGCATTGGGTGAAGCCCAGCTTGCAAACGGAAATCCACCGGGTCAGGGATAAGGGCCGGAATTTCGGCCCTATTGTGAGAGGTCAATTTTTGCCGCCTCTTCCTAATCAATTTTAGGTCAAGGGTATGGCGAGGAACATCGTTGGGACATCCGGCCTCCATGGAGGCTATTTCGTCCTCGGATTTGGTGTCGTCGGAATCCTCACTGGAGGAAGAAGAAGTGCTAGGGAGGTCCTCCGCCTCAACCCTGGTATTCGTCGCCGTCCCAGTAGAAACACCGGCAAACGGAACTGTGATGACATCTACAATGGCAGCGTCACGGTCATCTCCATGAGAGGCCATCTCCGAATCAGAGGAATGTTCTTTGGGGCTCATCTCGATCAAAGCCAGAAATGAAGATAGGGAATCCGGAGTTGGGAAATTACCTGAGCAAAGGAAGCAGGGAGAAAATTGCAGAGGAAACAACGAAGGCCAAGGAATTGCAGAGTCGAAACCCGGAATTGAGAAGTTAAAGGCTAATTTATAGCCTTGAAAACCGCCGTGTCGAGAACCAATCAGAGAGCGACACGTCACTAGGAGCATTTAAGCTAAACACGTGTCTAATTAAAAGACTAAACGACGGTTATCAAGATGAATATGGGGAAATGAAGCGGCAGCCGTCGAATCGCAGCATGGGGAACTGATTACTTCTGTACCCCGATCGCCATTCGGGGGTATTATAACATTGATATACTTCCTAATGCACTCACTTCGTTCGAGACATCGGAAGTGGGGGACTTGTGTTGGGATATTGACCTAGAGGCCCAATACCCAGATCGGGAAGGCCCAAGATATCCGGCCCAAGCAACAGGCCCATCACTCTATGATGAATACATCCAGTAAGAAGATATACCGAACGAGGTTCGGGCTATATATCATACTTGGGCCAATTTGACAGCATCTTCAGTGCAGCCCAACATCCCGTTCGAGCAACGGCCAACCAGCAAGTGGCCAGGTGCAATTAATGCCAGACTATGACATCAGCAAGTGGAAGCATGGATGACCAAGTCGGTGGAACAACGGCCAATCAGCAAGAGGCAGCCCATGCTCTCCATTAGTATAAATAGAAGGTTTCAAGTCATTGTAAGGGTTAGCATTTCAATACTCAAGCTCTAGAATAACATCATTTGCTCTTATTTCTTGTATTAAAGCATAGTTTCTGACTTACCGATCGGGAAATTCCTTGTAATCAGATTGGTTAATTAATACAAGTGAGCTTTCGAGTTTTAGTTAGTTCAGATCTTATATTTCTTTACACACTTTGATTCTGGGCCATTCCTGATATATCCAAAGTTCGTGTTGGGCTTTCGGATCTACGGGATTTACCCCCAACACTACTTAAACCATTATAATTGTTATAATTGTGAATGTAACAATTGTTGTAAACTCTAGTCCTCGACACTAAAATTAAAGAATTAAAGCTTCAAAAAGATTAACATCAATCAAATTAATGAGAGAAATCTTATATTTTGGTTTGGTTTGGTTTGGTGTAAGTTGGTTTTGATTTTTTTTTTTAAAATAAGAAATTATTTCATTTTTAGATTAATTCGGTTCTATTCGGTTTTATTCGGTTTTATGATTTCGGTTCGATTTGGTTCGGTTTAATACGGGTTGGGAGGAATACTACCAAACTCAAACCAAATAACAAATGGTTCGGTTTCGGTTCGGTTTAATTCGGTTTGGTACGGTTCGGTTCGGTCAAACCGAACCGTTATGCTCACTCATGGTAGAAAGGAAGTGCCACAAGGGAGAGATCTCGGGTTCAACTCCAAGCAAAGACTTGGAATGGAGCTCACTCTCTTTCCATTAGTGTGAGATCAAAACTCAATTTAAATCCTCTCAGATAGTTGTTCGGACGATTTTTGGGGCCCTTATAGATGGAGTGTTATCCTTTTTTACATCATGACACGGTAAATGTTACACTATTCACATGTTCTGATCAGAGTATATTTATTTATTGATGTATACTAAATTTGTTTCTTTGAAAGTATTGTTATATTAGTCTCACCCATTTCAAAATCTGAATTTTTTAAACTTTTATTAATAGCAAATTAAATAAATATATTCATAGTGAAAGTTGTAAATAGGATGTTGTAACTTAGGGACACATTTCACACATAAAGTGTTTACTCCGTATTTAATTTACATACTTTTGAAAAAGATTGTTTACCGAGAATGCCCCAACCGGTTTAAGAAGAGGCTGGGTTTACATACGCTGCAAATCCCTACATGCAATATATACATATACTTGATTAAATGATCGTAGAAAGCTCCGATCCGCCAGCTGTTAGTTTCCAGAAAAAGCTTTGCCTTACTAATTTGATGGGCGGGCAGGGTTGGTTTTAATTTGATGCCATAATAATAGGTATTAGAGATTTGAACCTATGTTGGAGGAGAAAATGGATACAAATTTAATTCTTCCGATCCAATTCAATAAGCCTTCCTTCCTTCCTTCCCTATATATATACTATCGTATATGAAATGAAAGTGTTCGATCGATCAGATCAGGTAGCTCAAGTCATTGAAGTTTCTTTAATTCGAGAGTCTCTCAGCTCAGCTCCACACAGAAAAAAATAAAAATGGGTTTTGCTTTGAAAGGTTTTGGTGAAGTCCTACTCATCACCTCCATTATGGCCGCCGCCGCCGCCTTGCCAAACGACGGTAACCGGCCGGCCACTTTCTCTGCTTAATTGCTTTTTCTTTTTATTGCTGAAACATAATGCGCGCAAATTCTTGCATGCATGTACCTAGCTAGCTAGGTTAATCTAAATTCTGTCTGTTATTATGTTAACTAACACATACATGCATTGTAACTTTTTCCCTCTTTCTTTCTAAGGCCATCTCCAACAGTCTACACCATTTTTTACATTAAAATGGTGTAAACATCACATCATACAGTATTTTACCTCCAACAGTTTACACTATTTTAAACACAAAAAAGGAATATTCCCTTTTTAATCTTTTTACTAACTTTTTACCATTCTTCTGTTTAAGTATGTAAAATTATGCCAAACTTGGTAAAACCTAATAATGCCAAATTTGGCAAAAAAATTACTCTTATTCATGAAATAAAAAACATGATACTCCTATTTTGGAATTTCAAAGTGTTTTTACCATTCTAACTAAAAAAAATATAAAAATTGGATGAGTTTAGGTAAAATAATAAAAGGTGAAATCATAAATAAAGAGAATTGTTGTTCATATTTTTGAAGTAATTCAAAAAGAAAGATAATGTATCCAATGAAATGATATATATATTGTCTTATATATTTCAGGTAACCCCAATTTGGTGAACGCTACATTGGTTAAGGCCGACAAAAAAGCAGGTACATATATACACACATTTCTAATTAATTGGATCAAGTTTAATACATGCACGTATGTACCACACTCATAAATAAATATACTAATCTATCCATTGTAGTTTGCTTGCTCGGGAATCCGGCAGCTTACTTTCACGCGCCGGGATATGGTAAAGGGATTCAAAATTGGATTGTTTATCTTCCGGTAATAAGTTATCTACTTTTATATTCTTTTCATTCACTATATCTTCCGACTTTGATGCATGGTTGTATACTCCTTTAATTCTATCCCTTAAAATTTTCTTATTTCATATTTTTTAGATCAATCCACTTCAATTTTGACCAATTGTGTATTCTTATATCATACTTTTTCCTGTATTATTTATAATTTAAAAATAACATGAAAATGTTCTTTTTTTAAAAAGTACTTTTCGTACAAATATATAACAATGTTTAACTTCCATAATATTACACGTAATACTAATCAACATAATCAAAATCATGACCCAAATTTTACCACCATTCACCAAAAAAATCAAAGATAACAAAATTTTAGTATACAAATAGATTATAATGCAGCATTTCAATTCAATATTTCAATGCAACATTAGTGTCGTCCTTGAATAGACAACCTTATCCACAAAGTAATAATGTTTTTAATTTGACTGAATTTTTTTGATTTTAAATTATCTAGTTTGAAGTGGTATGGTCTAGTAATTAATGTATGACCTTTGTGTATTTTATAATTCTCCAATCTGGCCGAGTCTAATCGGTCTGGTCTGATAGGATTTGATTTGGTCTGGTCTAGCCTGTTCTGTTCTCATTTGAGACTAAGTAAAAATATCCTAACATACCATCCTACATTTTGGATCAAATAAAAAGAAATTTTAATGTGAAAAGTGAGAATCATTTTTGTGCATTAGATTTGAGATCTAATGACTTTAAAAATGTCAACAATGCAATAAATTAGACTAACCTACAGTGAAATTTTTATAAATAACTAAGGTGTAAAAAATATGTATTGGAATTTATAAGTGCAGTGCAACGATGTAAAAGTAAAAATATCACACTTTTCATATTAAATTCGTGGTACTTTTTTATTTGAACCACACGATATATATACATATACAGAGTGTACATATATGTATGTATGCATATGCATATGTATATACATATGTATATACAGTGATGTGTTCAAATGAAAAGATGTCTTTCCATTAATAAAAAAGAATGATTCTAGGGCATTCATTTCTAGAAGTGGATCGGTTAGAATGTTAGATCAAGAGGGGGAGACAGGGGAGGCAAGCAGATGATATATTCTAGCACATTTTGATTGAAATATGATAACCTTTATTTTACGTACAGTACTAATTAATGCACTACATATATGTTTATAACAATGTATATATGTATGTATAAATATTTAACCTGCAATTTCTTGTTAGATCAATCATTCATGAAAAGACTGGTGACATTAATATACTCCCTCCGTCCCTTATAACTTTGCCATCTTTCCTTTTTTGGATGTCCCAAAAACTTTGCCACTTTCCCTTTTAATCAATGAATTTGTGGTTCCTGTCATTTCTCTCTCCTCTGCACATATCTCAACCACACAGTTTGTACTTTATTATTTCTCGTGCCGGTCAAACATGTCAAAGTATTGAGGGACGGAGGGAGTAATACACAATGGACAATGCGAAAAGTGTATTAGTGTAACATAAACGTGCATTAGATCGAGTCATATACTAGAATCATTACAATAGCTTTCATGATATATTCTGCACATTTTGACATTGTGATTGAATTATGATAACCTTTATTTTACTACCATACGTACATTACTAATGCACTACATACTCCCTCCCTCCATCCCTTATAATTTTGCCACCTTTCCTTTTTTGGTTGTCCCAAAAACTTTGTTATTTTCCCTTTAATCAATCAATTTGTGACTCATGTTATTTCTCTTTCCTCTGCTCAAATCTCTACCACACAGTTTTTACTTTATTATTTTACGTGCCGGTCAAACTTGGCAATCCTTTTAGGGACGGAGGGTGTATATGTTTATAACAATTCACTTTAGGTATTTATGGAAATACCATCGCTTTTTTTCTATAAAATTCATACGGAGTATCATTCATCAATTAGATTATAATTAGTTTCATTTCTGACTAAAAAGCCCTTTTTATTTAAATCATGCCATATTCTCTGTATATATGGTCAAATTAAAAATTTCGTATAGTTTTGTTGTGAGTAAACTTCCGTGTAAGTTTAGTTTGGAAATTCCTTGTTTACTTCAATTCGAGTTTTAACGATAACATGTACTCGCCTACTCGGTATTGATTACCGTATTTAAAACTTGTTTCACAGTGACATTAATGATTTGCAATTGACAACCTCTGTCTAAAATGCTTTAATAAAATCAAATCAAAGCACTGAATATTAAAAATGAATATGATCTATTAGCTTATGGAATTATTGTGTGTGAAATAATTAAAAAGTAAATGAAAAATGGTGACACTAAATAACTGTCCTGTCACCAAGTCCAAAAGTAGATCAGAAGCGTGTTTCATAGAAGTGTAAATGTGTAATTATTGCCTATAACAAAAGATATGTACTTCATTTTTAGGGTTTTAATTAATTTTCACAAGTGGACACCACTCTATTTCAAAGCAATTTTTATTGAACATGCTGGAAGGTTTGATCTCTTTCATGTTACGAGTTAGAATCGATAAATTAAAGATCAAGAACACAAGAATTTTATGTGGTTCACACAATCGAGATGATTGTGCTAGTCCACGGCGAACGAGAGAGAGCAGTGTATTATTATCGGCGTCAAGGTTTACAGGTACAAAGAGTGATTTTGAATAGGTCTCAAAAACCTAAACAAGAATAAGAGCCGCAGGCCCAAAATAAAACTTGTACTTCTATTTTTCCCACATACCCGGTCGGGTAACCTCCTATATCTGGTCGGGTATGTGTTCCAGAGAGACTTCTACCACGCTACCCCGTCTGGTAGCTCGGACGGGTATTCTTCCCAGGTCCATACTTCAACATACCTGGTCGGGTAAATCACATATACCCGGCCAGGTATCCATTCCAGAGAGTCACCAGGCCAAAAGCTTCCGCATACCCGATCGGGTAACCCAACATACCCGGTCGGGTATCTGCGTCTGGTCAACAATCATCTACCATCCAAGAACTTGTATCCTTTGACAAAAAAACCCTTGATCTCTCTCTCGTTCACGCCTTCTCATCAAGTATCTGGAAGGCCAGTTGAAGCCATGCATAGCTTCAACTTCTACGTTGTCACTGCCTTGGTAAGCATGTCTGCTGGATTCTTCGTACCAAGGATCTTCTTTAGATTTATAGTACCATCTGCAATCAATTCTCGGATGAAATGTGTTAATCCCAGAATACTAAACAATCGAACAATCTAAGCAGTTATATAGAAGCAGATAGAAAGATATGTCGAAGATTAAACGCGAATCTGGTATACCGTATGAAAACCGGCCGCTGCTCTCCCTGGAGAAGGAGAGCAGCGGCAACCCTACTCTCTCTCTATCTTTACGCCTCTGCGTCTCTAAGCCTCTTTCAATCTGTTTGGGTTCCCGTAAGTTAGCCTCCTTTTATAGGAGAAGTTAGCTAACTTACGGGTTACAAGGAAGCCCACGGGCTGATACACATTTGTGGCCCGTATTACACGTTTAATTAATAACTACACAAATACAAAGATAACTAACTAGATTGAACACCATAAAATATTCCCAACAATCTCCCCCTTGGTGATCAATCGTGTTGAATCAGCATTGCAGCGCAGATATCTTTGTCTTTGTTGTTATTGAGCTTCCTTTGTCTTTGAACTTGACTTCTGAGGAAGGTTATCTGAAGAAATCCTTGCAATCTCCCCTTTGATGTCTTCTTGACAATTTGATATTTGATACCGGGGGTTGAGGGACCTTCTGTATCTTGCATGTAGTCCTTGCCTTCCAGAAGTTGCTCTTGATCAGCTTGGATGAAGTCCGGTGACGCCTCTAGAAAGAATATTCTTTGGAGAATAGGAGACGCCCATGGAATTCATCTTCAAGACACGAGTATTTGACCTCTGTCTCCTCCACAATGTAGTCTTTTTGACTATTTGGAATGAATGCATTTGAGGAGAACTTGTCGGTGGCACAGCGGAACATAATGATGGTTGATTTGTGAGTGTAGCTGACCATTTGAGTTGCGGAGATAGTAGAGAGGGTGTTGGAGGAGAGAAGTGTCCCAGAATGATTTTTTGACAGTTAACAACATGTGGACCACTCTCCCCCTCATGACGATCCGATGACTCGGGGCGTCATGCCTTTATTCTTTTATTCTGCGGAAATAAAAACAGGAAAAACAAGCAGAATCTAAAGAAGATAACGTAGCCCCCCGGGGTCGTGAAGACGCCCGTTATCATCACTATAGAGATAAACTCTTTAGCAATGGCCTGAAAATGTTGGTGATTCTTATGTTGCAACAACAGGACTTCCTTCCAATCATTAGTCTACATCTGCAATATATGAGACCTATGGAAGTTCTCACGGGTCTTTGAAGACCTGCAACTGACTCAAAAAGTGCGTCGGTGTCCTAGAAAATTCAAAACATTTGGGAGTGAGATAACTAGACACGACGTGATCAATGAAAGTTCAGTGGCATGGGGCTGGAGGCCACTGTAGTCAGTATTACTTGCCTCGGAAGGAGACAGTAATGAGAGATGCGCTTCCCCGTGAACTATGATTAAACACCTGTCTGTTGGGAGACAAGTGAGTGGTCTAGGGTAGGGTTGTGCATGCGCCGTTTGGACAAAATGCAGCGACTTCTACCCGGGATCTGAATAAATTCAGTCCTGAACCTATGGGGATAGTCCAGAGTATTTTAGTGGCTAGGAGCAAATGTTCAATTCATAGCAGGCAATTGAGGTAGCAGACTCGTCATTGATAATTGTTTTTCTTCTCACTTGAGCCTTCTGCTTCCTAATGCTCATAATCTTCACTCACTCACTCGCTCACTCACGCACTTACGCTCGACTTTGTCCCTTGGGTAGGCTTAGTTGGGTTTACTAAGCCATAAGGACATGTTCTCTCATTACTTTCTTCATTTTCTCTCTGTACTCCCCCTCAACTGGAGCACTCGGTATGCTTTGTCATTGTTAGGCCCCGGGGAGGATTACTTTGAACACTC